AATTCAAACTCTTCAATCGTGTCGATACAGAACAATTCATACGATAACGCAAGAACTATAACACTTTTATAAATCAGAAAATTTGGGATCTTCTGGGGAAACTCTATTAATGATTACCTCTTTCTTATAACAGATATACTACAAGGAATTTAGTTCTTTCATTTATACATGATTTTACAAAGAAAATCACACATACATTTATACTTAATCATTACATATTTTTCAGAGAATTTTTTCAGAAAATATCGGATTTTCTGGGTTATGCACCCAATACAAAGTTTTTCAATCAAACATGCTTATGAAGTCACCAACATTATATATGTTGACCGTTTTCAAAATAACTTGTATTCCCAGGTAATCGATAAGCTGAAGAACCATCAAGAGTATTTTGGGATTTCTTTTATGCAAATGTCAATTTTCGTACAATTTATGCTTTTGAATGATGAAATGTAAAACAATGTACTTCATGTGAACAATGCCAGTTGTATTATGTAATGTTGGTGACGATTGTGTTATGTTTCATGTATATTCATTGTGATGATATTTCAATTTATAAGTCACACGAGCCCCCGGACGTTTTCGCCGTCTGGTTCGGGGGTGTGACATTTATAAAGCCAAAATTGATGTCATACAAACCCTTCCTTACCCAACATGTGTTAGAGAACTAAGATCTTTCTTGGGCCATGCGGGATTCTATAGGAGATTTATCAAAGATTTCTCGATGATCACGAGACCGATGTGCCCCCTTCTCCAAAAAGATGTTGACTTTAACTTCAATGTAGCATTTCTAGAAGCCATTGACATACTTAATGACCTAATCACATCCGATCCCATTATCCAACCTCCAAATTGGGAGCTTCCTTTTGAAATCATGTGGGATGCAAGCAATTTGCCATTGGAGCGGTTTATGTCAAAAGGAGGGCAAAGCATCACATGTTATCTACTATGCCTCCAAAACTTTGGTTAATGCTCAAGCCAAATATTCTACCACCAACAAGGAACTTCTAGCCATTGTCTTCGCATTGGAGAAATTTCGACAATACCTTCTCGGGACAAAAGTGATTGTATATTCCGATCATGCGGCCTTGAATTATCTAATGACCAAGAAAGATGCCTAGCCACGGTTAATTCTGTGGATTCTTCTTTTACAGGAGTTCGATCTTGATATAAAGGAAAAGAGTGGTGCTTAAAACCTAGTTGCAGATCACTTAATTTGTTTGAATATTAGTGGCTCCTCTCTTTCCATCCTTGAGGATTTTCTGGATGAACACCTCTTCTATCTTTCAAAAACCATTCCATGGTATGTGGATATCGTCAATTAATTGGTACTAAAGAAATTACCCATACATTTACCAAGTACTAAAAGGCCAAGTTGAAGAGTGACTCCAAATACTACGTGTGGGACGACCCTTATCTTTGGAAACATTGTGCGGATCAACTAATACGGAGGTGTGTTCACCAAAATAAGGTCAAATCAATCTTGAAGTTTTGCCATGAATATACATGCGGAGGCCATTTTGGTCAAAACAAAACCATGCGGAAGGTGCTAGAATGTGGACTCTATTGGCCAACAATGTCAAGAGATAACTATCTATTTTGCAAGAGTTGTGATAGATGTCAAATAATGGGAACCGTATCCATGAAGCAAGAAATGATTCAAAGCCCTATCCTCATTTGTGAGATCTTTGATGTATGGGGAATCGATTTCATTGGCCCATTCATCGTCTCTTTCGGTTATACTTATATACTGTTGGCGGTTGACTACGTCTCAAAGTGGGTGGAAGCAAATGCTACAAGGCATGATGATTCTAAAACTATAATTGACTTCTTGAAGTCAAATATTTTTGTAAGATATGGTGTACCAAGAGCCTTGCTGAGTGATAGGGGAAATCATTTTTGCAACAAAATGATGGAAGCCATGATGAAGAGATATGGTGTCACACACCAGATATCAACCGCCTGCCATCCTCAAACAAATGGCCAAGCCGAAGTGTCAAATAGAGAAGTCAAGCAAATTCTTGAAAAGACGGTCAACACCATGCGAAAATATTAGATCTTGAAGTTAGAAGATGCATTGTCGGCGTATCGGACCGCCTACAAAAGTCCAATTGGCATGTCTCCATTCCGACTCGTCTATGGAAAGTCTTGTCATTTACCAGTGGAATTGGAACACAAGGAATATTAGGCGGTTAAAAAGTGTAATTTCAATATTGAAGAAACCGGGAAGCACCGAAAGATCCAACTTCAAGAAATCAAAGAGTTGAGGAACAAGTCTTATGAAAATGCAAGATTCTACAAAGACAAGACAAAAGCATTTCATGACAAGCACATCACTCGAAAGCATTTTATTCCGCGCCAAAAAGTTCTTCTTTATCATTTGCGGTTAAAGCTATTCCCGGGAAAATTGTGATCTCGATGGCATGGACCTTTTATTGTTATAAAAGTGTTTGATCATGGTTCGGTTGAAATGAGGAGTTTGGAAACGAATCAAATATTCAAAGCGAATGGGCATCGTTTGAACCCATTTTATTAAGGTTTTGACATGGGAGAATTCGACAACGTAACATTCGAAACTCCGATTTATGAAGGTTGACGAAAGCAGGGCTATGTATTTGCAAAGACGTTAAATAAATGGATTGTGAATAATAATCTCCGCTTGACGTTTTGATGTTTCTACGCTGGAAGTTGGTCAAAAATAAAAATCTTGAGGTTTAGCAATGATCTTGGTAAAGTATGGAAGAAAACCAGAGCTTGTGGAGCGAAAAATTGCAAAAAAAAAAGTGTCAAAAATCTGCAATTGTGCGGCTTGACTGCTTACTCGCGCAAACATTGCACGACCCAACCCGATTGGCGCAAATCCAAGCTCAAAAATTCCTCCAACATGAGATGAAAACTGATGTGCGCGCGCGGCTGCTTCCCCACCCGCGCAGGTTTTGCGCGGCCGAATACCCACCCTTGCAACCAGTTGCGCGGCCTGCCTCCCACCCTCGCGGACTATTGCGCGGCCAAGACCAAACTGCCCTCTTCTTTTGCGCGACCAACACATCATCCATATAACTCCTTAACCGAACCATGCCCCACCCGATAATCCGATCCTACCTAAAGGCATGCTCGGACCCGCTTCAACTTAACCCGCCCCAATCCAACTTTCAAACCCGATAACTCGACCCACCCTTATACCACCCTTACCCGTCGGACCCCCCACCTAAACCTTTCCCCCTTGTGACTCCCTTCCATAGTGAACACATCAGTCGTCACCCTCCCATTTTTCGCTGCCGCCGACGAAGATCCCTTGTCGCCGCCGCTACCGTCGCACCCAGCTGCGCCACCAGACGCTACTGACGGCCACGTTCTCCGCCGGTCTACAACAGCCGATGGTCCCTTCCCCTTCACTGGTAGATTATCGTTCCCCTCCTCCTCCCTTCGTCGTCGGAGCCTCTCAATGCACCACTACCGCCGTCCTCCTTGCTGCTACCACCCACGCGTCCCACACACCCTAACCCCCAACCAATTCCGACCACCCCGCACCCCTTTTTCCACTGATAAACAGCAATCTCGCCACCACCTCTCTAACTCGCCGTAAAATCAAAAAAAGCTTCATTCCGCCACCATCTTCCAACAAAATTCAAAATTTCTTCGGGAATTCTTCACCAAATACTCCCGAGCATGCCGATCTACAATAAATTTGGGAAAATTAACTCGCCAGAAAAGCTAGCTCCGCCACCGGCCACCGACTGCCACCGCCCCTCATTTCGACGAAAAATTTCAAAATTTTTGTTTCTCATCGGAGATTCAAAAGACTCAACCCTGCGGGTCCAGTTCAAGGTTGGGGTGCGGTTTTAGCATTTTCCTTTCGGGTTTCGGCACTCGAATTTAGTATATTACTTTTAATTTTCTTGCATTCAATTTCTAATTTTGATAGACTTATGCCATGCATTAGGGTGTTTAGAATTGACTTGCTTTGAATTGATTGAATTATATTACCTTGAATTGTGCCAAATTGCAACTTTGGAGTGTTGTCGGGTTTATATTTATATTTATATTTTTATTTGGATTGATTGGAATGATGTGAGGCGAGTGAGAGGGATAATCTTAGTCAAGTTTTTGTCTTTGCTAGATTATATTAACAGGTACAATGGGAAAGAACAAAACCATTCATGCGTCTCATGGTTCTTCCCGTGAATCTTAGTCAAGTTTTTGTCTTTGCTAGGTTATCTCAACCGAGCATGTCGATAGTGATGGTAACTCAGTATTCACTAGTGCACAAATCAATCAATTCAAGTCAAACCTTCAAAAACGTGCAATCCGAGCCACCAAATTTTACCACCAGGACTCCATGATCAACCTTGGCCTTGATGATTTCTTGCTAAAAATTTTCATCAACATAGGTCGGCGTGATTACCTAGCTCTTTCCGCTCGCACATACAAGCAACCCACACTCGATTTCCTTTCTACTTATGTACGGGATGACACGGCGGAGGTGCTCCCATTTAGACCTCAGGGTCGGCAACATCGACTCACCTACGACACCCTCAACACTATCATGGGAACATACAACAGCCACAACACCAACATCTATAGTTATCAATGGACTCAATTCAAGAGCTTTCCCAAAGTACAATTTTGGACTCCGATCACCAGTCTTCCAAACTTCAATCCAAGTCAACAAAAAGACCCTTACGTCATCCATCCTTGTTGGAGAATCGCCCACCGGATTCTTTCAACTTCCATCTGTGGTCGTCACGATCCGGGACAAATAAACACAGTCGAGCTATATTTCCTCTTATTGCATGTCTAGGAGCGCCTGGTCTTGCCCCGGTTTCACCACCTTTTTGTTAGATAAATGTGACAGCATACGCATGAAGTCCACCAGAGACATTTGCATCGGAGGTCTCATTACCTTAATTGGTTTGGGTGTGGGCTTTCAATTTCCCGAGTCTGAGTATGTGCCAGTGGATGACCCGCCTATCTACCTCCTTGACTGCGTAGCTCTCACTCAGATGGAATTTTTGCTACCTACCAGCAATGGCCATTACTCTTGGCTCAATCTTGCCAAAGAATATGTCTACATCTTACCTCACGCCAACATTTCAGCTTTTACCACCAGGGACCCTGAAACTTGGTTCTTACCTGAAGAGTTAGGTATTGATCATGAAGCAGGTGATGATGATGACATGCATGTCGATACTGCCAATGCTGATAGCCCATTTGAGGCCGAAGACCATTATTACCTCCTAATCCGACAACTACCACCACCCTTTAACGATCAGCCTCTGGGAACACACTTCAAGCCACAACATGAGTACTAATCCTATCAACAACACAATGAGCCGGGACCCGAGTTTCCTCTTGATATATACAGTCAGCTTGCTGCCTTCCGTTGTCAGGGAAACCAGAATGAAGCAGCCATTCAGTGCATCGAGGAGCAGCAAGCTCGCGCCAAAAACTACATGGAGGATCTTTGGCATCATTTTCATCTCGAAGGCGGTTACCATCCTCGCGGGCCTCCTTCACCTTGATCCAGGTATGATCCTTCCTTACTCTCATCCTAAGCATTGAGGACAATACTTAATTTTAAGCTTGGGGTGAGGTATTCTTTATCTTTTATTTTTTTATTGCATTTAGGTTGTATATAGTTGCATTTAGAGTAAGTTATTTAAGTCATTCATAAAAATTGCAATAAAAAATGCAAAAATATTGCATATTTTGTTTCCTTCTTTTCTAATTTTCATACTTTTTAGATGCATTGTAGTTTAAGTTTATGCATTTTCGTTCTCTCTTGTCTTCTTATCCCTACAGGTACCATATCGCCGAGTCATAAGTATTGAATCATAGATTGGTCCCGGGTCTTGATATGGAATACCTTGTATTGGACAAATGGGACACGTTTTGAGCCTCACAGACCACTTTGAGACCGCTTGTGTGGGGGTCAGATGCAGGTAGGTTGATTGGGTCTAGGTGCGGAGGGATGTGGTTGGTCAAACCGATGTGTGCGAGCAAAGATTAGCCCGATAAGGAATTTTGAAGACATTGAAGACTCGCTTCTTGGTCTTGGGGGGAATACCCCTTAGTACTCACGAGTCTCGTCTGAGCCTTACTTAGTTAGACTCTCACCACCTTATTAGGATAGGTCATCATTTTTCTAGGGGTCTAGAGTAGATAGTTAGATAGATTTTGTTTATCACACCTCGCGTTGAGGTTCTTGATGAACTTTGAAGCGGGTCCCCCAATTCACATTTTTGGGACCTAGTTTTTTCGGTAACACCCATTTTTGAGTCATTCCCCACCCTTTTTAGTAGATCTTGAGACATTGTCAATGATCATTAGGTGTTCATGTTAGCCTCTATCTATTACTCCATTTTCACTATTGGAGTTCTATGTTATATGGTGAAATTCCTTAGACCTTCCAAGAAGAAAGACAAGAAGAAAACACAAAAAAATGAAGAAATTGGAAAAGAAAAGACAATAAGAAACGATAAAAGAAGATTCAACAAAATCAACAAAAAGAAAGAAGAAAAATAAAGAAAAAGAGAAACACAAAAGAAGAACAAGAATCGAACTTCAAGACTTCTCTGTTAAAAAAAAAGAGAGAGAGTTAAGAAGACAGAAGATCGAGCAGCAAAGAGACTAAAGACCAATAACACTAGTTCAAGATTGAAGATTTAAGTTGTTAGCTTTAGATTTAGGTTAAGTAGATTTTTTATTATTTTATTTTGTTTTTGATTTTGGTTATCAAAGGCAATGAAGATGAGATGGTAGACTGTAAAGGACAGTACAAGGGAGAAGCCCCTGAAACCGGATGTTTGCCCGGAGGCCGTGCTGCAAAACCCTATTTCGTTACAATACACTTTTGCCTAACAAATGTAGGAATCATCGTGTGTGAATAGGCACCTTTCCTTCATGCATTACGATGTACATTGGTGATTTAAAGTGCCCCCACTGGGCGCATCCTCTGTTTCCCTTGTCTTGCACACCGTGACTACATCCAGACGTGATCTATTTGCCCTTCAAGTGGTTCGAGAATGTGGTTTATGGCCCTAAAGCGGGGAACATTTTGAAGATGCATAGGGTCCATGAAAGACTGATTCTGACCATGTTTACTGTTGTTGACCAAGTTCTATGGTATCTTTCTTTATCCATTTTTAGTTTAGTTCATCCCGAGCTCATTTTAGTCTTGTTCTAACATGAGGACATAGGTTTAATCTTGGGGTGATTTGATAGTTTATTTTATTTCCTTGTTTTTGTTAGTTTATTTTAGAATTTGTAGGTGTTTTTATTGGTATTGGATTGTATATTCTTTATTTTCTTTATCATGGATCGTGTCGGGTACTTTCTATTTTGCATGAGATATTTTGCAGGGTTTTGGAGCTCGTTACGGTTGCGCTTTGACTGGAGTTGGGCTTGGTGAGATTTTCGATGCATTATTCGGCTTCATGGATCCATCAAAGGATATTTGGGCTTAAAAAGTTGAAGACTTGGATGAAGTGGGCTTGTTAAGATGGGTCATGGATTCTTATTTTGGGCTTGGACTGTCCATATTTAAAGCTTGAAGATGATTGGCCAAATTTGAATCATGTGAGGCATGGAGGGGACCAAGGGAATCTTGGGTAGTGGGGTGTGTAGTGGAGAAAAATGAGCCAATAGCATTCCAACCATATTTGCAAGGGTGGAATCTTAGTCGCGCGACACTTGCGAGGGTACCCGCGCAACTGCACAGTTTTGGGCATTTTGGTCATTCTGCTCACCATTTACTTGGGGGGTTAGGTCTAGCAGCTCATTATTCGATTTGACACCATTGGAGACCATCAGAGGCGATTTTTGGAGCTTGATACTCATTCTTCTCATCTTTCTAAGTAATTGGTAGATTCTTGATTCAAAAACACTTTTATGATTGTTATTTTGTTGCACTAAGTGGCTAGTTTCTCTATTTTGGTTAACTTTGGCTGAAAACCTTGGACATTTGTGGGTTTGGAAGGATTCATGCTTAATTGTCATTTATCTTATGTTTATGATTCTAGTTCATATTTCTTATGCTTGTTTAATACTTTGATCATGAGCTTGGTACTTGAATGATAAATTGTTGGTTTATTTCATTGGTCTAGCATTGAATTCTTGAATTTACATAGAACAAGGGCTTTATGATGGTAGAAATCATCTCTAGCTGATGAATCATGACTCCTTTATGGATGTGTAAGCATTCACGTCCTCTAGTAATTGGGGATTCCTTCATTCTTAAGGCTAATCAACTTCTTGGGTTCAACTGTTTCAATTGAATCCTTGATTTTGATTAAGAAGGTGTGTTGCCCCAACCTCCATACTACCTATGAGGAATCTCGGCATATCATGCTTCATGATTGCTATAACCAATTTGGGATGAATGATAAGCTTCATATTGAATCCGAATGATAGACACACAAATGTTCATTGTGTTGAATTGCCTTTGTTAACTAATTCTCTCCAATATTTAAGCATCCTACCATCTTGCTTAATTGCAAGCTTTTTAGTTATTCAAGTTTTTTAGTTTTCAAGCAATCACAACACCCCCCTTTTAGTTTAATTGTAGTTAGTTAGTTTATTTACACTAGTTCTTTTGGATTGCATTGGTGATTGAATACAACCATTTCCCCGAGGATCGATACCCCTTTTTACCATTATATTACATTTTATTTTTAAACAAAGGGTGTAATTTGCTTGGTGGACTTGATATCCCACCAAGTTTTGTTGAACGATGCGCAAAGCAAACTCCATCTTGTCTGTGAAGGCATTGGTGAACTTGTCAATGGACACGTCGTGCTTCTTCAACGCCAGAAACTAGTTGTATAGCTCTAACAGGTTTTGGGTCGAGCAGAACTTGCGTTTAAAGTCTACCAAGAACTCTACCCATGTCTGTTGTAGTGGCTCGTTGGGGCTTATGGTCTTCCCCGAAGTGTTCCACCAGCGAACAACACCACCTCTAAACTAACGCAACTAAACGTTATGAAAGTTAGCTCCATCTCCAAGATCCAGTCCATGACTCCGATTGGATTCTCTTTCCCAGTAAAATTCGATGACTTGCAAGTCGTAAAGTCTTTATACTTGCATCCATTCCTTTCGATTCCTTCATTTGGGTTATTTCTTCTAACCATTAGCGGTTCAGGGTGACCAATGGTTCTACTGTAATTTCCTTCTTCCGACTGTCCGTCATTTAGTCCAGACTGTTCAACAGGCATAGTAAGTGTTGGATTTGGTTTCTAAGCCCATAACTATAACTGGTATGTACTTGACCCGATTGTAGCATGGTCCTTTTGGGTTGCCTTCACCAGTGCAATTTGATAGTATGAATTTTGAGAATAAGGTTATTTATGTTTTATTAATATATTACAAGTATAATATATTAATACGATATTATTTAATTAGTATTAATCAATAATTAATTTATTAATTTTGTGATCAAAAGAGACTAATTAAAAATATTGGGATTGATTATGTAAATAAATCATTCTTGTAGTGTGGGCTAATTGTTGGGTCTAAGTGTTGCGTCTTTGGGCTCGGCCGTTAGTCCATTTATTTTACTCGGTTTGGGCCTGTCCAACTGTGGATAATCATTAGGGTTAGCATATATATATATATATATATATATATATATATATATATATATATATATATATTGCATGCATGTATAGCTTTAAGGTTATCGTTCTTATTAATTACTTTGCATTGTAACCCTAACACACCTCTACAGTCGAAGTTCTTCATCGAGCTCTTCTGAGGTGTGAGTTATTAATCATTCGACATCATTTGATCCATTCCTGTGTGCTTTACTTGATTGATATTGTTTTTCTGCTTAGAATCTATCGATCTTTAACGTAATATTCTCATCAATTGGTATCAGAGCAGGAGACTGTGTAATACATACACATCTCTTCTATTTGAAGAATACTTTAGGGTTTCCGCTTTTATCAATATATAGAAGTTGTCCTCTTCTTGTCGACGACATATCATGTGTTTGATAAAACCCTAAGTTCAACTTTACAAGTCTGATTCTAACAGAAAAAGTTCATCATGTCTCACGATGACTCACAAATCAATCCGATCAACATCTCCAACAGCATAGGATCAACTACAAGGATTCCCATTCTCTATACTCAAGATTATGAAGTGTGGGCACATCACTTCGAAGACTATGTAGTTGGATCTGAAGACAATGGCTACTTAATCTAGGAAGCAATAACATTGGGGTTCACTCTGGAACAAACCGAACAGTCAAGAATCAAAAAGAGTATAACCAACTCTTGGCGGACGTAGATAAGATACCTCAAGACGAAAAAGA